TCCAGCCTTGTATCCAGCATTTGGGAGCCAGCAGGTGGAAATATGAGGTCAGGTAGATCGAACCATCCGCCCTGCTATGATTGAAACCCGCCTGTACTAAAAAAAAAACAAAATACAGGCGTGTAGTGGGGCTGCCTGTAACTTCTCAGGCTACTTCGGGAGGTGAGGCAGGAGAATGGGCGAAAACCTGGGAAAGCGAGCTTGCAGTGAGCGAGATTGCACACTGCACTCAGCCTGGGTGACGAGTGAGACTCGTCTTCAAAAGAAAAGAAAAAGAAAATTCACAGGCAGGGAAGAATCTTCATGACATTTATAAATGATGGTATTGCCTTTATGCAGGGGGACCCACATCTAAAGTGAGCCTTAGCAAATGAATTTAGCAGTTCTTCTTGGTCAGATAAAGTTGAGGGAGAATTTATAAGGGTCTCTCTCATCTATGTACTGACATTTCCATCATCATGGTTATTTTGCTTAAAAGTACTAAGTTTCTTTTTTTTTTTTTTTTTTTTGATTGGAGTTCGCTCTGTCGTCCCGGGCTTGCAGGCAGTTGCTGGATTCTCAGTCCTGTAAAGCTTTCTTGCTCGTGGGTCCACGCCATTTCCTGCTTCGCCTCCGAGTAGGGGGGGGGCTAGACTTACAGGCCCTGCCACCTTCGCCGCTAGTTTTGTATTTTTAGTAGAGATTGGTTCACCAATGTTAAGCCAAGATGGTCTCGATCTCATGCCCTCGTGTCCCCGTCTCGGCCTCCAAAGTGTGGGATTACAGGCTTGAAGCAACGTCATCCGGGCCTTTTTTCTTTATTATTATTATTATTTTTTTTTGGACAGAAGTTTATTCTGTGCCAAAGGCCTGGAGTTGGCAAATTGGCATTGATCTCGGTCACTGCACCTGCTCCTATTTCATAGGTCGGATTCTCCTGCCTCAGCTCCCCGTAGCTGTGACTACAGGGTACGTTGCCACCACCATGCCTGGGCTATTTTGGCTTTTTTTTTTTTTTGAGAGAGTCTCGCTCTGTCGCCCCAGGTGCACGTGCGTGGCCAGATCTCAGCTCACCTACAAGCTTCGCTCCCTGGTTCCACCCATTTTCTCCTGCCTTCAGCCTACCGAGTAGCTGGGTATCAGGGCTGCCACCTCACCCCGGCTGTTATTTGTATTTTTTTAGTTAGAGGACGGGTCACGGTTAGCCAGGGATGGGTATTGGATCTCCTGGACTCATGATCCGCCGTCCGGCTCCAAGTGCTGGGATTACAGGCTTGAGCCACGCGCCCAGCCATTTTTGGCATTTTTCGTAGAGACGGTGTGAGCCACCGTGCCTGGCCCTCCTGCTGTGAATTTTCTGAACCATGACATGTGAGTTAATTTGCACAGGTTTTCCCCCATTACTTAGATGCATAGGGTTTCCTTCCTGTGTGACTTCTCACATGACCTTGAAAGGCTTTGGGACAACTGAAAACTTTCCCACATTTTTCGCATTTACTGGGCTTCTCTCCAATCTGCATTCTCACATTTTTGGAAGAGCAAAGCTCGCCTGAAGGCTTTCCCACACTGGCTGCATTGACAGGTTTCTCTCCTGTGTGCTTTCTCTCATGTTTGTGTAAAGATGAGGACCAACCATACGTTTTCCCACATTTTCCACATTTATAGACTTTCTCTCTAGTTTGCAATTCGACATTTGTGGAGGGGTGAGGCCTCGCTGAAGGCTTTCCCACATTGCCCCTACTCACGGGTTTCTTTTTAGCGTGCGTTCTTGCGTGTTTGTGTAAGGAGGAGGGCCAACCAAATGCTTTCCCGCATGTTTCACACTTATAGGGTTTCTCTCCGTTGTGAATTCTCACGTGTCGCTGAAAGGATGTTGCCCAGCAGTAGGCTTTCCCACACTGCTTGCACTCGTAGGGTTTCGCTCCGGCGTGCATGATCGTATGGACTCGAAAGGATTTCTGACACCTGAAGGCTTTCCCACAGTGCTTGCACTCATACGGCTTCCCCCCAGTGTGCATCATCACATGCGCCCGAAAGGATTTGGGACAACTGAAGCCTCTCCCACACTGCCCACATTCATAGGGCTTCTCTCCAGTGTGAGTCCTCACGTGTTCGGCGAGAGAGTGAGAACGAAGAAACGTCTTCCCGCAAGATTGACAGGCATAGGGCTTCTCTCCACTGTGGGTCTTCTCATGCATCTGTAGGTAGGAAGGGCGACTGAAGGCTTTCCCACATGCCTTACATTTATATAATTTTTGTCCAGAGTGAGCTCTTCGGTGCCTCATCAGGGATGAGGAATGGGTGAAGAGTTTTCCACACTGACTGCATTCATACCGTCTCACACCGGTACGATGATTCTTGCGCAGATGACGATTACAATTTCGAGTCTTTCTGAAGGTTCCTCCACGCTTATTACCTTTACCGCTTTTACATGGTCTCTGCACCCTTGGATTTCTGCTAAAAATGGGCAGCACATTATTAACGGTTTATGCTTCATAATTTATTTATTTCTTCCCTTGAGGCAGAGTTTTGCTCTTGTTCCCCAGGCTGGAGTGCAATGGCACGATCTTGGCTCACTGCAACCTCCGCCTCTTGGGTTCAAGTGATTCTCCTGCCTCAGGCTTCTGAGTAGCTGGATTATCGGCATGAGCCACCACTCCCGGCTAATTTTGTATTTTTAGTAGAGACAGGTTTTCTCCATATTGGTCAGGCTGGTCTCGAACTCCCAACCTCAGGTGAGCCACCTGCCTTGGCCTCCCAAAGTGCTGGGATTACAGGCGTGAGCCACTGTGCCCAGTCAATTATTTCTTAATATATATTAATGAACATTACGATAACATTTTTGCCATTTTCTGTACAAGGGTATAAGTTTCCCGTATTGTTGAAATTATTTCAAACTGGAATAAACAAAATACTCTGGTAGAAAGTTCAACCACAGCCCACTACAAAAACAATAGTAATGCCGGGCGCGGTGGCTCAAGCCTGTAATCCCAGCACTTTGGGAGGCCGAGACGGGCGGATCACGAGGTCACGAGATCAAGACCATCCTGGCTAACACGGTGAAACCCCGTCTCTACTAAAAAATACAAAAAAAAAAACTAGCCGGGCCAGGTGGCGGGCGCCTGTAGTCCCGGCTACTCGGGAGGCTGAGGCAGGAGAATGGCGTGAACCCGGGAGGCGGAGCTTGCAGTGAGCTGAGATCCGGCCACAGCACTCCGGCCTGGGTGACAGAGCGAGACTCCGTCTCAAAAAAAAAAATAAATAAAAAATAAAAACAATAGTAATATATGGGGTTCTCCCAGAATTGTTTCTAACAGAATTATCTTTTTTTTTTTTTCACTCTGTTGCCCAGCCCAGGCTGGAGTGCAGTGGCACGCTCTTGGCTCACTGCAACCTCCGCCTCCCAGATTCAAGCAATTCTCCTGTCTCAGCCTCCTGAGCAGCTGCCCATTTTTGTATTTTTAGTAGAGACGGGGTTTCACCATATTGGTCAGGCTAGTCACAAACTCCACACCTCAGGTGATCCGCCTGCCTCGGCCTCCCAAAGTACTGGGATTACAGGCGTGACGCCACCGGGCCCGGCCCTGCCCTTTTCTTCTAAGTGCAACTCACCTCGAACGTCTCTCCTTGGTGTTGTGCTTGTCTTTCACACTATGTTCTTCCCAATTTTTTCCTAAAAGGGAGGCCCACGTATGCTTTCTTGTGAACTTTTCTATTTTCTGTTTAAGGGATAATTTTTCTCCAGAAGTATCCTGCTGAGAAATGGACGCATTGGTTTTAAGTTGAGCCTCATCATCTGAAACAAAAAAAGGTAAACAAATATGATGAGGAAGGCATCTGCAAAGAAAGAAGTCATTCAGGTGTTTAATTGTTTCATGATTTCATTATGCTATTTTATTTACTTATTTATTTATTTATTTATGAGACAGAGTCTCACTCTGTCACCCGGACTGGAGTGCAATGGCACGATCTCGGCTCACTGCAAACTCCATCTCCTGGGTTCAAGCCATTCTCCTGCCTCAGCCTCCCGAGTAGCTGGGATTACAGGCGCCCTCCTCTACACCCAGATAACTTTTTGTATTTTTAGTAGAGACGAAGTTTCACCATATTGGCCAGGCTGGTCTTGATCTCCTGACCTTGTGATTCACCTGCCTTGGCCTCCCAAAGTGCTGGGATTACAGGTGTGAGCCACTGTGCCTGGCCTGACTTCATTATGAAGAAGTACAAGAGCTCTCTTTCTGCCATCTTGGAGCCTGGGGAGGCCTGCAGGGAATGTGACTTCCAAAAGAAAATGCGTCTGGAAGGTGGTGGTCCAAGGCCATTTTGGCTGCCTGTAAGCAGGGTCTCCAGAACCAAAGAGAGCACACAGCTCTTCTTAAAATTGAAGGTGTTTGGCCGGGCGCGGTGGCTCACGCCTGTAATCCCAGCACTTTGGGAGGCCGAGGCAGGCGGATCATGAGATCAGGGGATGGAGACCACCCTGGCTAACACGGTGAAACCCCATCTCTACTAAAAAACACAAAAAATTAGCTAGGCGTCGTGGCGGGCGCCTATACTCCCAGCTACTCGGGAGGCTAAGGCAGGAGAATGGCATGAACCCGGGAGGTGGAGCTTGCAGTGAGCCGAGATCGCGCCACTGCACTCCAGCCTGGGCGACAGAGCGAGACTCCCTCTCGACAAAAAACAAAAAATAATAATAATAATAATAATTGAAGGTGTTTATGCCCAAGATGAAACTGAATTCTATTTGGGTAAGAGACATGCTTATGTATACAAAGCAAAAAACAACACGGTGACTCCTGGTGGCAAACCAAACCAAACGAAACCAGAAGCATCTGGGGAAAGGTCATTCAGGCCCACAGAAACAGTGGCATAATTCATGCCAAATTCTGAAGCAGTCTTCCTGCTAAGGCCATTGGACACAGAATCCCTGTGATGCTGTCCCCCTCAAGGATTTCAACTAATGAGAAAAAAAAAAAGAAAAAGTACAAGCAGTCAAAATGGTAGATAATTTTAAATGCACAGAAAAATCATCACAATGTTTCAAATAATTAATGTCTCCGTGCCACCAATATATACCCGCACTGGTAACACAAAAGGACCCTAAGTCTTTTTTTTTCTTTTTCTTTTATTTTTTTTGAGATGGAGTCTTGCTTTGTCGCCTAGGCTGGAGTACAGTGGCACCATCTCAGCTCACTGCAAGCTCTGCCTTCCAGGTTCACGCTATTCTGCCTCAGCCTCCCGAGTAGCTGGGACTACAGGCGCCCGCCACCACGCCCGGCTAATTTTTTGTATTTTTAGTAGAGACGGGGTTTCACTATGTTAGCCAGGCTGGTCTCGATCTCCTGACCTCGTGATCAGCCCGCCTCGGCCTCCTGATGTGCTGGGATTACAGGTGTGAGCCGCTGTGCCTGGCCGACCCTAGGTCTTTTCAACAAGACAGAAAGAAAAGTACAGATTAATAGATTTTTATTATCACAGAGAAGCTACTGAATTTTAGGTCCAGGACATCAACGATTATAACTGTCTCATTAACCAATGTATTCCCTTTCTACATTATAAATCTTAGAATAGGCTTAATGAGCAAGAAATATTTATTCTTTTTCTTTTTCTTTTTGGAGATGGAGTCTTACTCTGTCTCCCAGGCTGGAGTGCAGTGGTGCCATCTCGGCTCACTGCAACCTCTGCCTCCCGGATTTGAGCGATTCTCCTGCCTCAGCCTCCAGAGTAGCTGGGATTACAGGCGCACGCAGCCACGCCCAGCTCATTTTTTGTATTTCAGTAGAGACTACATTGCACTGTGCTGCCCAGGCTGGTCTCAAACTCCTGAGCTCAGGCAATCCATCCGCCCTGGCCTCCCAAAGCACTGGGATGACAGGCGTGAGCCACTGTGCCCGGCTCTTTTTTCTTTTTTCTTTAAAACAGGGTCTCAATTTGTCACCCTGGCTGGAGTACAGTGGTGTGATCACGGGTCACTGTAGCCTTGGACTCCTGGGCTCAAGTGATTCTCCTGCCTCAGCCTCCCAAATAGCTAGGACTATAAGAGCATGCTACCACGCCGGGCTCATTTTTGATTTTTTTTGTAGAGACTGGGTCTCACTATGTTGCCCAGGCTGGTTGCCAACTCCTAGCCTCAAGTGATCCTCCTGCCTTAGCCTCCCCAAAGCACTGGGAATACAGGCATGAGCCACTGCAACCAGACAAAACACGTATTATCTCATAACCAAGTGCAGAAATAATGCCATCCTTACCTACTGAGGCCAGGTGCTCGAACGTCTCCAGCATCACTTCTCTGTAGAGGTTTCTCTGAGCAGGAACCAGCAAGGCCCACTCCTCCAGGGTGAACCCCACAACCACGTCTTCAAAGACCACCGTGTCCTAAAACAAACCACATACATGTATGTGAGGATGGTGGAACTCACAGCACTGGGGAGCTGAACTCCGTTCATAGGACACTCACACAAGATCCCGCAGTCTCCCAATATCGATTTAAGACTCAGTCCTCAGGCTTCTTCCCCTCTGTCTGTTATCACTTCCTGTGTCGTAGGTTTTTTTTGTCTTTGACAAATAAAAGTGGTATACATTTAAGGTGTAGATGACAATCTGATGCACATATATACTGGGAAATGATTGCCATGAAGTTAATTAACACATCTGTCACCAGTTACCTTTTTAAAAATTTTGATGGGAAGAAGAAGTAAGATTTACACTCTTAGTACATTTCTTTCTTTCTTTTTTTTTTTTTTTTGAGACGGTGCCTTGCTCTGTCGCTCCAGGCTGGAGTGCAGTAGGGCGATCTCGGCTCACTGCAAACTCCGCCTCCTAGATTCAAGCTATTCTCCTGCCTCAGTCTCCTGAGTAGCTGGGATTACAGGTGCACACCACCATGCCTGGCTAATTTTTTTATTTTTAGTAGAGACGGGGTTTCACCATGTTGGCCAGGCTGCTCTGGAACTTCTGACCTCAAGTGATCCAACCGTCTTGGTCTCCCAAAGTGGTGGGATTACAGGCGTGAGCCACTGTGCCTGGTCTTTTAGTACATTTCAAGTATACAATACAGTATCCTTAAATACAGTCACCATGTTGTACACTGGACGCAGAGAATTTATTCATCTTACAACGGAAAGTTAATTCCCTTTGACCAACATGTCTCCCCACTTCCCCTGCCCCTCAGCCCCAGGCAGCCACTCTTCTACTCTCTTCCTCTAGGAATCTGGCTCTTTTCGAGTCTCCAGGTAAGTAAGATCATCTGGTATTCATCTTTCTATGCCTGGCTTGTCTCACATGTGCTCCAGGTTCATCCAAGCTGCCAACAATGGCAGGATTTCCTTCTTTATTATGACTGAATAACATTTAACTGTATATGTGTGTATATCATATATATATATTTTTTTCTTGAGACGGCATCTTGCTGTTGCCCAGGTTGGAGCGCAGTGGCGTGATCTCGGCTCACTGCAACCTCCGTGTGTCATATATTCCTTATCCTGTGTCATAGTCTTTAGGAAAAAAAAAAATTTTTTTTGAAATAGAGTCTCGCTCTGTCACCTAGGCTGGAGTGCAATGGTGCGATCTGGGCTCACTGCAACCTCCGCCTCCTGGATTCGAGCGATTCTCCTGCCTCAGCCTCCCGAGTAGCTGGGATTACAGGTGTGCGCCACCACGCCCAGCTAATTTTTATATTTTTAGTAGAGCTGAGGTTTCACCATGTTGGCCAGGGCTGGTCTCAAATCTGCCTGCTTTGGCCTCCCAAAGTGCTGAGATTACAGGCGTGAGCCACCGCACCAGGCCAGAAAATTTTTTGGAGACAAGGCCTCACTCTGCTACACAGGCTGGAATGCAATGGCGCAATGAGAGCTCACTGCAGCCTTGAACTCCTGGGCTCAAGTCATCCTCCTGCCTCAGCTTCCCAACTAACTGGGATTACAGGTGTGTAATTAGCCACCACGTCTGGCTAATTTTTATTTTTATTTTTAGTAGACTCAGGGTTTTACCATGTTGGTCAGGCTGGTCTTGAACTCCTGACCTCAACTGATCCATCTGCCTCAGCCTCCCAAAGTGTTGGGATTACAGGTATGGGGGCCTAGCCCAAAATAGTAAAATGCCATCTGCTCCCTGAAATTAGAAACGAGAGAAGCTTTCAGAAGTGATCCACTTGAATCATGGCAAATGTAGTATACAATGAAAAAATACAGAAAGGAGAAAATTGTTCTGGGTGGGAGAAACAGCCAGAGGTTAGGCCCTAAGGAAGGAGTGGGCCCTTGGCTCTTTCAGGTACAGCCAGAGCCTGTGTGACTGGGCAGAGGGGGATGGGGACATGACAGCCAAAGGGGGTCGAGTGATGGGAAGTGAGGCACATCACTTTGTGGGGAACTCATCGGCCACAGGAAGGACTTTGGCTTTGGCTCTGAATGACTCCAGGCCTTTGCACAGAGCAGTGATCTCATGTGACAGCTGAGACTAGATCATAGGGGGCAGATGCAGACACCAGGACACCTGCTAGGAGGCGAAAGCCGCACGAGGTGAGAAGCAGGCGTGTCACCTTGGGTGGTCACAGTGCAGTCGCGTGCAGGACCAGCCTAAGAGGAGATACACAATTTCCTGATGGGCTCAAGCTGGGGCAAGACAGAACAGGGAGAATCGAGGAAGACTGATTATTTCACTCAGGAAAACCGGCATCATGGAGTCACCAGCAACTGAGTTGTAGACGGTTATATGTGACCTGAGAACTGACCAATCAGGCAGCTGGGGTGGGGCCTAGAGAACTGACCAATCAGGGGAGCGTAGATGGAGCATGGAGAACTGTCAGTCAGGGGGGTTGGGGCAGAGCCTAGAGACCTGTCCAATCAAGGGAGATTTTATTTATTTATTTTATTTTATTTTTTTTGGAGATGGTCTCGCTCTGTCGCCCAGGCTGGAGCGCAGTGGCCGGATCTCAGCTCACTGCAAGCTCCGATCCCGAGTTCACGCCATTCTCCTGCGCTG